GCAGAAGGACTCTGAAAACGCATACTTTGCCAAGGGGGCCTACTAGCTGCTTTGTCTCTCTCATTTGCAGGGGGGGGGGGGGAACTCCACTAAAAGGCCAATTGCGGTGCGCGACAAGACTAGTGATGAACACACGACACAGAACTGCATATTTGCTGTTGTAATAGTTCTTGTGATAATTGGCCGAGCCTGGAAGCGGTGGTGTCGCGGAGGCTGGAGGGTGCCTTCGGGGGCTCAGCACGTCGAACAATGAATGCTGAACCATGAAAAGCCGTGCATTATGGGTGAGCAGAACCATGTGATGGTGAAGATAATGATAATATTAGTGATGATCGTAGCAGTGGAAATAACGGTACCGCTGGCAATGGCAGTGAGTACCTTAGACTAACTGGGCGACGAGAAAAACACTCCTTGAACCCTTGATTTTTGAGCGCTTCGGACTCATGGGACGAACCTCAACAATACCGTGGACTAATCGCAGCAGCCCAAATAAGAAGAATCACTCCTCAAGCCCCTCCTTAAGATGAAGAGAACCTGGAGACTCTAGGATTAATGGGAGTACCTTGGACGAACGCGACAAGCGTGAAGAAATATGATAGGACATCACACCAAAAGGTATCAATTTCGCATAGGCAGCTTTCTGCAAGAATCGGGCAAAGCAAAAAAAAGCGAGAACGTGCAGCAAATAGCGGTGATAACAGCTTGACCTCAAAGTCGATAATGTTTCAGGTTTTCTCAGAACGGCCGCCAACTTAGGCGCGGGATGAGGAAATGCCTAAGTTTTGGACTACAAGAGCAAACTTCCACAGCAGCCCGCATCAAAGAACCAAAAACAAAGCTCCTGGAACCTGGAAGTGCCATCAATGTCCCCACTCCAGCTTGTTCATCTGAAAACTTTCTGATGCAGTTACCACCCTTCTCAGTTTCAGTAAACTGCTAATCGCTAAGTCCAAGTCATCTCTGCGCAGCGCAAAGCTTGAACTAACTCTGCCTGGCCAATTCCTCGTGCCACACAACCTCTGCCGCCCGCAGCGCCGCAGGCGGGAAGAGCTTCCTCCAGTCTCAGCTAGTCGGGACTGTGTACACTTGGCGGTATTCTGTACTGTGATTCTGCGGGAGTTTAAAGGGGATCTTAGGGCTTTCTGATGTGACGTTGCGCCAAGAAATTCTGACATTTAGTGTACAAGCTCAGATGTGGAATTGCCCCCAAAGCGGATTCAGGGTTTCGGGCTTAGGGCTTGCGAAAGACCTCTAGGAGCCCACCGTCCCATCTACCCGTCCGGGTGTGAGATCTCGGCCCTGAACAAGTGGACTGAGGGTGGGGCATTGAGCTCACAGGTCCTAAACATTGGCATTTGTCAAGAAAAGAGGTTGCAGCATAGAAAACATCCGCATGATGATAGGGATCCCAAAACAAGGACCCAAAGTCACTGAAACACACACACACACACACTTGTGCAATCCTCCCTCTGGACTGATGGGGAAATCTCGTTATTCAGTCTTCGTCAACACAGAGGAGTAGGATCTCAAGAGGATTCAGGCTCAGCCTATGGCTTACCTCTTGCCATGTGTGTAAATTTCTTGCATATCTGG